GCAATCAGATAATAGACTAGTCCACCCCTCGCCTGCTGGGCACCCCCCCCCCCCTTCTTGCCCAGGACAATGTTCAGCTTTCAGCGTTGTCACACTTTGATTGGCAATCGTACGGTCATGCAACACTTTACTCATATGATATTTTCATACATTTTTTTGAGACAGAGCTTTCTTTTGGTGTTTTTTAGTCACCTCTGGGGGGGGGGGGGGGTTATTTTTTGCTAAACAAATTAAAAAAGGGGTGAAAATTTTGAAATAAAAAGTTTTCCTTAGTTTCTGTTATAAGATTTTGTAAATATGTAATTTTTCTAATTCACTGATGGGCACTGATGGGCGGCACTAATGTGCAATGGTATACGGCACTGATAGGCTCCACTGATATATGGCACTGATGGGCAATAATATACAGCAGTGATATACGGCACTAATAGGCAATGATATACGGTACTGATAGGCGGCACTAATGGGCAATGATATATGGCACTGATAGGCGGCACTAATGGGCAATGATATACGGTACTGATGGGCAATGATATACGGCACTGATAGGTGGCACTAATGGGCAATGATATACGGCACTAATGGGCAATGATATACGGCACTGATAGGTGGCACTAATGGGCAATGATATACGGTACTGATAGGCGGCAATGATATATGGCACTGATAGGCGGCACTAATGGGCAATGATATATGGCACTGATAGGCGACACTAATGGGCAATGATATACGGCACTGATAGGCGACACTAATGGGCAATGATATACGGTATTGATAGGCGGCACTAATGGGCAGTGATATACAGCACTAATGGGCAATGATGTTCAGCACTGATAGGCGGCACTAATGGGCAATGATATGCGGCAGTGATAGGGAGCACCAATGGGCAGTGATATACGGCACTGATAGGCAGCATTAATGTGCAATGATATACAGTACTGATGGGCACTGATAGGCGGCACTAATGGGCAATGATATACAGCAGTGATGGGCACTGATAGGCTCCACTGATATACGGCACTGATAGGCAGCACTAATGGGCACTGATAGGCGGCACTAATGGGTAATGATATATGGCACTGATAGGCTCAACTGATGGGCACTGATAGACAGCACTAATGTGCAATGATATACAGCACTGATGGGAAATGGTATACGGCACTGTGGGATAGGCTCCACTGATAGGCTCCACTGATGGGCAATGATATATGGCACGGATGGGCAATGATATATAGCATTGGTAGGCTGCACTGATAAGGCTGTACTGGTATGTGGCACTGATGGGCAATGATAGGTGGAACTAATGGACAATGATATAGGGCACTGATAGGCGGCACTAATGGGCAATGATATACAGCAGTGGTGGGCACTGATAGGCTCCACTGATATATGGCACTGATGGGCACTGATATACAGCACTGATGGGCAATGATATACGGCACTGATGGGCAATGGTAATACGGCACTGATGGACACTGATAGGTGACACTGATTTGCAATGGTATACAGCACTGATAGGCAATGATATATACGGCACTGATAGGCCCGGGGTAAGACCTCTTGTCTCACGTGCCCTCAATTAAAAGCTAAGTTCACTTTTTTTTTTCCTCTAAAATCCTGCTCCCCTATGTACAAGTATACCAATAAAGAGGTAGTAAACCACAAAAAAAAAAAAAAATTCTCCCTGAAATTTAAGATCATAATGTGCTTGTAGGCATCGCATACTAATAAAGTTTTGGTAAAAAAAAAAAAAAAATCGATTCTACAGAGATTGTACCATCAGATTGTATGGCCAGCTTTATAGACAATATAAAATACGGACAAATAAAATTTAAAGCTCCCAAGTGTGGACTGTATGTGTGTGTTATTGTGAACCTGCATTGGTAGGCTCCACGCACATGGGGCATTTTGGAGATGCTCGCTGTGTAAAGTCACATTAAAAACTAGAGTTTTTCAGCTTTTTTTAGCATTTAGCATTTTGCGTTTTCCCACGGTTTTCCACTTTTGCGGTTTTAGCATTTTTTTACCCAAAAAAAAACTTTTGTGGTCAAGAAAAGTCCCAAAGTGCCGGTTTGCAGAGTTTTTCTGCATTTTATTCAGCGTTAGAGCGTTTTTACAGCTAAAAAACTCCACTAGTTTGGGGGTTTTTTTCCAGCCAAAAAACGTTGATTACAGTCTACAGTGAAGGAAATGCGTATTGATCCCCTGCTGTTGTTGAATGTTTGCCCACTGACAAAGAAATGATCGGTCTAAGAATCGAATGTTCGGTGTATTGTAACACTGAGAGACAGAATAACAACAAAAAATTCAGCAGAAATGCATGTCTAACAAATGATGACTGATTTGCATGTTCATGAGGGGAAATAAGTATTTGATCCCCTATCATTCAGCAGGATTTCTGGCTACCAGGTGTCTTTCATACAGGTAACAAGATGAGATTAGAAGCAGTCTCTTAAAGGGAGTGCTGCTAATCTCATTTTGTTACCTGTATAAAAGACACCTGTCCACAGGAGCAATCAAACAATCAGATTCCAAACTCTCCACCATGGCAAAGACCAAAGAGCTGTCCAAGGATGTCAGGGACAAGATTGTAGACCTACACAAGGTTGGACTGGGCTACCAAACTATCACCAAGCAGCTTGGTGAGAAGCCGACAACAGTTGGTGCAATCACTCACAAATGGAAGAAAAACAAAACAACTGTTAGTCTCTCTAGGTCTGGTGCACCGTGCAAGATCTCACCTCGTGGAGTGTCATTGATAATGAGAACAGTCAGGAATCATCCCAGAACTACACGTGAGGATCTTGTCAATGATCTCCAGGCAGCTGGGACCACAGTCACCAAGAAAACAATTGGTAACACACTACGCCAACAAGGATTGAAATCCTGCAGTGCCCACAAGGTCCCTCTGCTCAAGAAAGCACATGTCCAGGCCCATCTGAAGTTTGCCACTGAACATCTGAATGATGCAGAGGAGGACTGGTTGCAAGTGTTGTGGTCAGATGAGACCAAAATCGAGCTCTTTGGCATCAACTCAACTCGCCGTGTTTGCAGGAGGAGGAATGCTGCCTATGACCCCAAGAACACCATCCCAACTGTCCAACATGGTGGTGGAAACATTCTGCTTTGGGGGTGTTTTTCTGCTAAGGGGGCAGGACAACTGCACAGCATCAAAAGGACAATGGACGGGGCAATGTACCGTCAAATCTTGGGTGAGAACCTTCTTCCCTCAGCCAGGGCATTGAAAATAGGTCATGAATGGGTGTTCCAGCATGACAAAGACCCGAAACACATGCCCAAGGCAACAAAGGAGTGGCTAAAGAAGAAACACATTAAGGTCCTGGAGTGGCCTAGCCAGTCTCCAGACATTAATCCGATTGAAAATCTATGGAGGGAGCTGAAAGTTCGAGTTGCCAAACGTCAGCCACCAAACCTTAGTGACTTGGAGAGGATCTGCCAAGAGGAGTGGGCCAAAATCCCTCCTGAGATGTGTGCAAACCTGGTGGCCAACTACAGGAAACATCTGACCTCTGCGATTGCCAACAAGGGATTTGCCACCAAGTACTACAGTTGCAAGAAAAAGTATGTGAACCCCTTGGGATTCCGTGGAGTTTTGCATGAATTGGGCATAAAATGTGCTCTGAACGTCATCTAAGTCACAATAGAAGAACACAGTCTGCTGAACATAATACTACACAAACATTAGATGTTGCCATGGTTTAATTGCACATAACATGTAAACATTCACAGTGCAGGGAGGAAAAAGTATGTGAACCTTTGGACTTAATAACTGGTTGACCCTCCTTTTGCAGCAATAAACCTCAACCAAACGTTTCCTGTAGTTGCAGCAATGGCTTCCTCCGTGGTGTCCTCCCATGTACTCCATTCTTGTTTAATGTTTTCCTTATTTTAGATGTGGTCAACAAAAATGTTAGCATGTGCCAAAGATTTCTGTAGGTCTTTAGCTGACACTCTGGGATTCTTCTTTACCTCATGCAGCATTCTGCTCTGTGCTCTTGCAGTCATTTTTTACAGGACGACAACGCCTAGGGAGAGTAGCAACAGTGCTAAACTTTCTCCATTTGTAGACAGTCTGTCTTACAGTGGACACATGAACATCAAGGCTTTTGGAGATACTTTTGTAACCCTTTACAGCTTCATGCAAGTCAACAATTCTTGATCGTAGGTCTTCTGAGAGCTCTTTTTCTGCGAGGTACGGTTCACATCAGACAGTGCTTCTTGAAACAGTAAACCCAAAACAGGTGTGTGTTTTTTAAGGGCAGGACAGCTGTCAGCAACAAATCCAATATCACACTGTTTTGAGTCAAGGTTGGCTCACTCCTGGCTCCAATTAGCTCTGGGAGAAGTCATTAAGCTAGGGCCTCACATACTTTTTCCTCCCTGCACTGTGAATGTTTACATGTTAAGTGCAATTAAACTATGGCAACATCTAATGTTTGTGTAGTATTATGTTCAGCAGACTGTGTTCTTCTATTGTTGTGACTTAGATGACGTTCAGAGCACATTTTATGCCCAATTCATGCAAAACTCCACGTAATCCCAAGGGGTTCACATACTTTTTTTGCAACTGTAAGTCATGTTTTGTGAAGGGGATCAAATACTTATTTCCCTCATGAACATGCAGATCAGTGCATCATTTGTTAGACATGCATTTCTGCTGAATTTTGTGTTGCTATCCTGTCTCTCAGTGTTACAATACACCGAACATTCGATTTGTAGACCGATCATTTCTTTCTGAGTGGGCAAACATTCAAAATCAGCAGGGAGCAAATACACATTTCCTTCACTGTATGTGTGTATGGACACATAGGATAACATGCTGGGGGGTTTACTGGCTGTAGAAAAAAACTGTCAAAAGCCAAAAACAGCCTCTGTAAAAACATCCCATGTGCATGAGGACTTATGCCGGCCATACATGGGTCGAAATTTGACTTTTGTTCTCAGTTTTTTTTTGTTTTACAACTTTTTTTTTTCGTTTTGTTCATTACAGCATGAGCGTTACAAAACAGTATGGCTCTGGATGTACAGAGGAGTGGGAGTATATAGAAGGACACAAGGATCTCTACAAGGACGTCATGATGGAGAACCAGCCACCCCTCACATCACCAGGTAAGAGGAGACTTTAATTTCTTGTATTGAGGATCCACCAAGATGCACACATCCTCTGATATACAGACATAGAAACAATGTATTCAGTCAGTGTGTGTGTTTCCTACAGATGGACCCAGTAATGGGAACCCACCAGAGAGATGTCCCCGTCCTCTGTATTCCCGGGACTCCACACAGGAGCATCAGGAGATCCCTCAGGAGGATCAGGTAAACCACATTATGGGTTTTGACATAGCTGCAGGCATCACATTTTTAGAGGGGGCAGTAGGCTCTCTTGTAAAAGCAAACAGAGCGGCTAACTAGCAGTTGGATTGCTTTTACAAGCAGCAGGAGGGGACATTAACACCCCTCCATCCCCGTCGCCTTTCACGGTTCTTCTGTCCCACCAGGAGACCCAAGGGACCAGACAGCTGAACAAAGCCAGGATCAGCTTTGATCGGTTGTCCGCTATAGTAACCCGAAGGTGATGACCTGACAACACTTCTGCTTTACTCAGCACTAAACGGCGCCATTTAAAAAAAAAAAAAAAAAAAAATTGAAAGCATTCAAAAGCATCAGTCTTGGTGTTTAATGCTTTTAAATGCAGAGGAGAATTTGGGGTCTTTTAGAGCCCAGATCCCTCCATAAAAAGTACCTTTCACGTGTCTATTGCTATCACAACGAAAATTTAAAAAGCACAGTGTAAAAAAAAAAAAAAAGTAATTTTAGAAAAAAAATAAATTATTTAAAAAAAAAATTAAAGTGCCCCCCGGTTCTTGTGCACAAAGGCGAACGCATCTGTCGGTCCCGGAACGCACGCAAACAGCGATCGTCCCTGTGTTAAACTGTGTTTAAAAACACAGTAGAAATGTAAAAAAAAATTTATACAAATATTTTTTTAAATAAATTAATAATTAGTATTTTTTTTTTAAAATTTTTTAAAAAAAAAAAAAATAATTAAAAAAATAAAAATAAAGTGCCCCTTGCCCCCCCCGGTGCTTTTGCACAAAAGCAAATGCATGCATCGGTCCAGCATGCATGCAAACAGAGCACATGTGAGGATCAAAAGACAAACCACGTACGGCAGTAATTTCAGCACTAGATCTCTGTAAATCTAAAGTGGTAACCTGTAAAGCGTTGCCTATGGATAGTAAGATTTACCTTGTTTGGTGCCTTTGCACGGGCATGCGCAATTTTAAAGTGCGACATGTTTGGTATCTATTTACCTGGCATAACGTTATCTTTTACCCTAGGTTCACATCCAAGCATTTTTGCCAGCGTTTTGCAGTACAGTACAATGATTTCCTATGGGACAGGTTCACATTTTTTTCACCCGGTGTGTTTTATGGAAAGGGTCAGGTACTTTTTTAAATGCAAAAAGTTGCGGTTTTGGTTCTATAGACTTCAATGGAAACGCTGCAGAGAAGCATGTATTGCATTTTTGGCACGTTTTTGATGTATTTTGCAGTTTAAAAAAAAAAACAACGCATCAGAAATGCATGTGCACAAAACACACTGTAAAACGCACTGCAGAAATGTATCAGAAACGTAACTGCATAGGTGTGAACTTGGCCTTCTATTTTACCAAAAAAATTGGGTAATGTAGTTTGGGTTTTTTTTTTTTTTTTTTGCATTTTTGTATTTTTTCCTAAAAAATTGCATTTGAATAATTGCTGCTCAAATACCGCGTGATATAAAAAAAATTGCAAAACCCACCATTTTATTCTCTGGGGCCTCTGCTTTAAAAAAAAATTATACAATGTTTGGGGGTTCTAACTAATTTTCTAGAAAAAAATATTGATTTTTACAACAACAAAAATGTCAGAAAAAGGCCCAGAGGTGAAGTGGTTAAAGTGGAGTTCCGGCACTTACCTGTCCAGGCATCCGGCGGTGTCCTCACCCCAAGCCGATTCTTCAGTCGGCTGTCGGGTGCTGCTGCCGCCATCTTGACTAAGGGAAAGCGGCGGTGAAGCCTTGCGGCTTCACTGCCAGTTTCCTACTGCACATGTGCGAAGCGGGCTGCACTTTGTGAATGGGCTGCAGTCCTTTGGGACCTTGGAAGTGTCCTTGGAAGTGACCTTGGAAGTGCCGAACCTCCGGCTCAGTTCGCCGCGGTGAACTCAGCTGAAAGTGGGAGTGGGTACTTGTCAAAACCAGGTACCTGCTCCCTGCACCCACCCAAAAGGTGCCAAATGTGGCAGTGGAAGGAGGGAGGCTTCCACTTTTGGGTGGAACTCCACTTAAACCACTTGCTGCCTGGCCTGTGGTCTAATGACAGCCGGGCAAGCCTCTCGTTCCTCTGGGAGGGCATCATATGACGTGCTTCCTGGATCGCGCTCTGCATGCGCCCGCAGGGCCGCTCTGTGGCGAGATCTGTCATCGGCTGTGTACCTCAGACACGGCCGATGACAGATCTGTGTATCGCCCTGTTGCCAGTACCATGTGACCTACTGTGACCAATCAGTTGTATACAATGGATGCCTTCCTTTCATGCCATCCATTGTATACAAGTGTGTCTAGCTGTGAATGGTCACAGCGATCACATGCACAGGCTGGGCCAATCACAGCCCATCTGTGTCATGTGATTAGCCATGGCCAATCACAGCTAATCACAACAAAAAAAAGCTGAATGAATCGATGTCATTCAGTTAAATGCTTGCTTATAGCAAATAAATTCTTTGCTATAAGCAATCAAATTGTGTAAAAAAAAAAAAAATACTGATCACTTCCTCAAAGTAGTACAATGTTACTATGGTAACATTGTACTACTTTGGTCATAGTGAAATATGAAAAAAAAATCTTAAAAAAAGAGAAAAATGTAATAAAAACTAAAACAATAATAATAAACAAAATTGAAAAAAAAATTATAATTTTTTTTTTTCGTACTGTCACCGGTCAGTGTCCCTGATCACCACCACACCATGCTGATGCTGTACTGCACTGGTGACAGTATGTAAAAAAAAAAAAAAAAAAAATTGTGAAAATTATTTTTTTAATTTCTTCATTTTCCGAAAAATGATGACAAAAAAATTACAACTTCAAAAAACTCGCCTTGCCTATTATGAAATACGTCAGACTGTCTAGTTTGCAAAAAGGGGTCATTTGGGGGATATCTGTACTGTTCTGACATTTGGGGGATATCTGTCCTGTTCTGACATTTGGGGGATATTTGTACTGTCCTGACATTTGGGGGATATCTGTACTGTCCTGACATTTGGGGGATATCTGTACTATTCTGACATTTGGGGGATATCTGTACTGTCCTGACATTTGGGGGATATCTGTACTATTCTGACATTTGGGGGATATCTGTACTGTCCTGACATTTGGAGGATATCTGTACTGTTCTGACATTTGGGGGATATCTGTCCTGTCCTTTTGGGGGATATCTGTACTGTCCTTACATTTGGGGGATATCTGTCCTGTCCTTACATTTGGGGGATATCTGTACTGTCCTGACATTTGGGGGATATCTCTCCTGTCCTTACATTTGGGGGATATCTGTACTGTCCTGACATTTGGGGGATATCTGTACTGTCCTGACATTTTTGGACCTCAAGCAATTAGATTGGCCGTCAGTATTTCAGGATTGATCAATTTTCAGATATCTCCCATAGTTTGTGAACTCTATAACTTCCCTACAGACTAAATCATAAACACTGATTTGGGTTATTTTCACCAAACACATGTAGTAGAGTACATTTTGGCCTAAATTTATGAAGAACAATTATTTATTTGCAAATGTTTATAGTAGAAACAAAGAAAAACATGTTTTTTTTTATTTTTCACAATTTTCTGTCTTTTTTTGTTAATTTAGCAATAAAAAAAAAGAAAGCTCTAGTTGTGTGAACAAAATGATAAATTTTAGTTTGGGTACAGTGTTGCATAACCGCGCAATTGCCATTCAAAGTGTGAGAGCGCTGAAAGCTGAAAATTGGCCTGGACAGGAAGGGGGTGAAAGTGTCCAGTATGGAAGCAGTTAAAGAGCTTTTGGTTTTGGGTTGAATTCCGCTGTAAGTAATCCAGTGGATCTATTGTGATCTATAGGATCGCAACAATGTAGTCTGCGATATGCCACAATTTCCTGATTGAATACAAGTGAACCTGTCATATTATTACGTGTCTTCAGGGTGAACGTCTGATGAAGGTGAAAGTTGAAGTCAAACAGGAAGCAGAAGAAATGTATAAGGAGAGCGATGATCGATGGAAGGAGGAGGAGATCCCTCCAGAGATCAGCACAGGTGAGGAATAAATGCTCAGGGCCAGTTCACACGACAGGCATTTCAGTGCGCTTTTTTTCTGCATCCAAGACGCACAGAAAGTAGGTTCTATGGTGGTCAGTGTCATAGTTCACACCAGCGCTTGCAGTTCCAGTGTGTTCCAGTTGCAGAAAAAAAAGTAGAGCAGGCAGCATTTTTCCTGCACAGAACTGTACTGGAATGTGGTAAAACGCACCAAAAATGCACTGGAACCACTTTGTGTCCGGCCCATGTACATAAACGGCCAGACGGTGGCAGTGCAGGGGTGGGTTGCCATTCATAAACGGCGCCCATATTTACAGCCTGTACACGCTCCCTGGAAGTGCGCGGCACCGCGATCCTGTGCCCACTGTGTCCGGAGGAACACCGATCGCTGTATGGGACCTCTGTGTGAGCTCACGATCATGTGATCACCGATTGGCCAATCAGTGATCACATGAATAGTAGTAAGCAAGATTTCACTTCTGACATCATTGCTTACTACGTGTGAAATCTGTGAATGATCACCCGAGGTCACATGGTACAGGGCTATTCACAACAGCCTTGTACCATGTGACAGCTCACACAGTATTTCTCAATGGCTGCAGGAATGCAGCCAGAGAGAAGGAGAAATGATTGCTTTTACAGCCTTTATGGGTGTAAAAGCAAACGGTGTAAAAAAAAAAAAAAAAAAACCCACAAGTAGTATATTGTCACTATGGTGACACTGTACTACTAGGGTGACAGTGTGTTTAAAAAAAATAAAATAAAAATAATAACAATAGAAAAAATTAAATAAAAATGTAAAAAAAATTTAGAAAAATTATAATTTTTAGTTATAAACTAATTTGGGTTATTTTTTTTTTTTTTTACTAAAAAGATAGATGAATACATTTTGGGCAGGATTTATGAAGAAAGATTATTTATTTGCAAAATGTTATAAGAAAAACAGGGGTTTTTTTTCAAAATTTTTGGACTTTTTCAGTTATATAGGAAAAAAAAAAAATCCCAGTGGTGAATAAATACCACCAAAATAAAGTTTTATCTGTCTCAAGAAGATGCTAAACAATTCATATGGGTACAGTGTTGCATGACTGCGCAATTGTCATTCAAAGTGTGATAGAGCTGAAAATTTGGCCTGGACTGGAAGGGGGTGAACGTGTCTGGACTTGAAGTGGTTAAATTGAAAAAAAAAAGAGGGGAAAAAATGCATCCGGAAGGCATCTGGACTGCTTTTCTTTAGTGTGAACCGGCCCTAAATCCAGAGAAGAGTCCCAGATTCTCCTTGTTCAGTCCCTATAACAATTTCCTCTTTCCTACAGATGGATCCAGTATTGGGAACCCACCAGAGAGATGTCCCCGTCCTCTGTATTCCCAGGACTCCACACAGGAACATCAGGAGATCCCTCAGGAGGATCAGGTACCGAGCATTTGGCTCTCAGTTGCAGCGTTCTCCTATTGACCTCAGTGGGAAGGGTCGAACTTTGTAGGCCGAGTCATAATTGCCGTAGCCACAAAGCAAACATGGCCTTTAAAGCCATCCCCACGCTGCTGAGTAAAACCAAAAAAAAACAAAGAGTCAGCTGGCACTGTCACGGTGCCTCACTGCTGTCTCCTGGGTAAGCTCAGCACAAAAGGTCCCGCAACAATAACCCCTAGGCTCCATTCAAATCTGAGCGTAGCGTTTTTCGCACATATTTAATTGCATTATTGCGGGTTTTCATACAAAAATGTTTGCAGTTTTTGAGCTTTTTAGGCGTCTTTTTATTAGCCAATAGAGAAAAATATCATCTGTTGCATCATTTGTTGCTAGGTCTTTCTGTTTCAGCTTTTCCATCAGCTTTTATTTATTTTATTATTATTATTATTATTACTAATAATCATAATTTATTATTTTATTATTATTTATTATTTTTTGTTCGGGTGATGACAATTTAAAAAATGAATAAATAAATGTTAAATAAATACACAAGTAAATAAAAATAAACAAACAAACACTATGTAATATTAAATAAGAATTAACCCCTAACCTTAACCCCCAACCCTTAAAAATATATTAAACAAATTATTATTATTATTATAATTCTTAATAATAATATACACCTAAACCCGAACAAAAAAATACACTGATGATGATAATAAATTGTTAAATGTAAAATAAATACACAAATAAATAAAAATAATCATAAATAAATACTTGTAATAATAAATTAATAATAACTTGCTGAAAACCTTGACCCCCTAAAACTTAAAAAAGTTATAAAATAATAATAACAACAATCATATTATTATTAATAATAATAATAATAATAATAATAATAATAATAATAATAATAATGAATTCCTTTTTTTATGGATAAGGGTTCATTTTTATTTATCATGATTTTTTTATTTATATGTGTATTTATTTTACATTTATTTATTCATACATTATTACAATTTTTTTTTTTTTTTTTAAATATATTTTCATTCGAGCAGAAAATGTGCGAAAGCACTCAAAAAAGCACCAATTGAGCGTTTCTATTCTTTCCAATGAGAAAAAAACATGCTAAAAGTGTGCAAATCTGCCCGATATGAGCTCCAAAAGTAGATGCAAAACTTTTTTGAGCTTCAGGCGACTTGGAGTGGAAATGTGAGTTATATTGATTGCCCCCCCCCCCCCCCCCCCCCCCCCCCGAGCGTTTTGAAGCTTCGAGCTTCAGGTGTGAACGGTGTCTTAGGACACTTTTACACTGATCCTTTCCTTCTGTGCATACGCGGAGTGCACTGAATGGGCCACAGTCCTTTGGGACCTATTGAGTTTGCCAGAGGGTTACGGGGGGTGTAACGTCCGGCTCAGTTCGCCACAGTGGAAACCGAGTACCCGCCCCCCCCCCCCAAAAAAAAAAAGTGCCACATGTAGCAGCAGAGTGGGGGCAGGAGGCAGATAAGTGGAGCTTCCACTTTTGTGTGGCACTCCGTTTTACGTTGCTGTTATTGAATTATTTTTTTTTATTATTTTCTGTTATTGAATTTTTTTTTTGTGTGTTATCTGTTAATCCAGAATGAAAATCTGATTTATATTAAAGTGAAAGTGAAAGAGGAAGCGGAAGACATGTACGGGATGGGAGACGAGGCTTGTATGGAGGAGGAAATTCCTCCTGAGATCGGCACAGGTGGGTAATAAACACTAAAGCCTAGAAAATTGACCTTCGATTTTAATATTTTATTTTTTTTCCAGTAAGGGAGCATGTAGAGCTGGAGATCAGGATATGCTCATGTCATTGACCACTTCAATACCGGGCACTTCTACCCCCTTCCTGCCCAGGCCAAATTTTCAGCTTTCAGCGCTGTCGCACTTTGAATGACAATTGCGCGGTCATGCAACACTTCACCCGCATGAAATTTTATAATTTTTTTCACACAAATAGAGCTTTCTTTTGGTGGTATTTAATCACCGCTGAGTTTTTTATTTTTTGCTAAATAAAACAAAAAAAACTGAAAACTTTCTGTTATAAAATTTTCCAAATAAAAATAACATTTCATAAATTTAGGTCAAAATGTTTTCTGCTACATTTATAATAATTGAATTTGTATTTTTTTTTTTTTACTATTTTATTTTTCAGCACACTGTGACCAAAGCAGTGCAATGTTACCATAGTAACATTGAACTACTCTGGGCAAGTGATCAGGATTTTTATTTATTTATTTTTAACACATTATGATTGTTAATACCAATATATTTCATTGATATTTGCAATCATTGTTACTGAATGAAACTGATTCATTCAGTCTTTTGTTGTGATTAGCTGTGATCACATGATGCAGATGGGCTGTGATTGGCCCTGTCTGTATCATGTGACTGCCTTGACCAGTCACAGCTAACAACATAATTGTATGCAATGGATGGCATGGCAGGAAGCCATCCATTGTATACAATGGACATTTGATCTGCTGTGATTGGTCACAGCGGTCACATGACACTGGCAACAGGCCAGTGTAGTGACATGTCATCGGCTGTGACCCGTGGAGTGATGCTCGGGAGTGACGTCATCGCGGCACGGCCGTTCAAGCGGACTTCGATGGAAGTCTGGATGAAGATGGAAAGCCCTGTCAATGTCACGCCGCTGGAGGGCGATGCACCCTAGCACATTATATTATCTTGCTATAGGACTGCCCTTTTTTTTTTTTTTCGGCATTTACTACTGCTTAAAGCGGTAGGAAACCGCAAAAAAAAAAAAATCAAACAAAATCTCCCTGCAAGTTAAAAGCGTCACATACTAGCAGATTATGAAGGACCTACCTGAAAACAAAGCCCTCCAGTGGAGCGCTGTCATGGCTCCCTACAGCTTCCACCTTCACCCGGTCTTCCTTCAGGGTTCACGTGGGCTGCAGCCATCTGATTGCAACATCACGCATGCGTGCGGGAGTTTCAGCCGCGGCATGGCTCTCTCAATGCGCTGTCCATTGAGAGCGCAGTGTGCATGCGCCGGTGACATCTACAGTAAATATCTCCTAAAGGGTGCACATATAGGAGGTACCGGACTTTTGAAGAAGTCTTCCTCCCCCTTGAAGGAGTCTTCCTCTCCCTTGAAGGAGTCTTCCTCTCCCTTGAAGGAGTCTTCCTCCTTGAAGGAGTCTTCCTCCCCTTGAAGGAGTCTTCCTCTCCCTTGAAGGAGTCTTCCACCCCCTTCCTCTCCACCCCCTTGAAGGAGTCTTCCACCCCCTTGAAGGAGTCTTCCACCCCTTGAAGGAGTCTTCCACCCCCTTGAAGGAGTCTTCCACCCCCTTGAAGGAGTCTTCCACCCCCTTGAAGGAGTCTTCCACCCCCTTGAAGGAGTCTTCCTCCCCCTTGAAGGAGTCTTCCTCCCCCTTGAAGGAGTCTTCCTCCCCTTTGAAATGTCCCCCATGTTGTCATGTTACAATGTATTTTTTGGGATTTGATGTGATAGACCGACACAAAGTGGCACATAATTGTGAAGTGGAAAGAAAATGAGAAATTGTTTTCAACATTTGTGACCAATAAATCTGTGAAAAGTGTGGTGGCATTTGTATTCAGTCCCCCGGAGTCAATACTTTGTAGGACCCCCTTTGGCTGCAATTCCAGCTGCAAGTCTTTTTGGGGATGTCTCTGCACATCTAGAGAGGGATATTTCTGCCCATTCTTCTTTGCAGAATCGCTCAAGCTCTGTCAGATTGGATGGAGAGCATCTGGGAACAGCAATTTTCAGGTCTGGCCACAGATTCTCCATTGGATTTTGGTCTGGACTTTGACTGGGCTATTCTAACACATGAAGATGCTTTGATCTGAACCATTCCATTGTAGCTCTGGCTGGATGTTTCAGGTCGTTTTCCTGCTGGAAGGGGAACCTCCGCCCCGGTCTCAAGTCTTCTGTAGACTCTAACAGGTTTTCTTCTAAGATTGCCCTGTATTTGGCTCCATCCATCTTCCCATCAACTCTGACCAGCTTCCCTGTCCCTGCTGAGGAAAGGCATCTCCATAACATGATGCTGCCACCACCATGTTTCACGCTGGGGATGGTGTGCTCAGGGTGATGTGCAGTGTTAGCTTTCCACGTTTTGCTTTTAGGCCAAAAAGTTCAGTTTTGGTCTCATCTGACCAGAGCCCCTTCTTCCACATGTTTGCTGTGTCCCCCACATGGCTTCTCACAAACTGAAATCTGGATTTCTTATGGCTTTCTTCCAACAATGGCTTTCTTCTTGCCACTCTTCCATAAAGGCAGATTTGTGGACGACCAATAGTTGTCCTGTGGACAGATTCCCGGACCTGAGCTGTGGATCTCTGCAGCTCCTCCTGAGTTCCCATGGGCCTCTTGGCTGCTTCTGTGATGAATGCTCTCCTTGCCCGACCTGTCAGTTTAGGTGGGTGGCCATGTCTTGGTAGGTTTGCAGTTGTGCCATACTCTTCCCATTTTTGGATGACGGATTGAACAGTGCTCCGTGAGATGGTCCAAGCTTGGGAGATTTTTTATATCCTAACCCTGCTTTACACTTCTCCCCAACTTTATCCTTGACCTGTCTGGTGTGTTCCTTGGCCTTCATGATGCTGTTTGTTCACTAATGTTCTCTAACAAACCCCTGAGGGCTTCACGGAACCTCATATGGAAGAAAATATATTTGAAATATAGTTTCGAAATATTCTTCCCGAATATATTGACATATTTGAAAATGCTACAATTTTGGCCATATTCAATATATTTCAGTAAATATAAATATATATCAGTAATCCAATGGCGCCATCATTGAATTTGAAAAATCGGCCGATCAAGTCATAAAGTTCACCCCATATAACAGGCGAAACTTCTTTTCCTTCCAGGTCACGGCTCATGCGCATATTCTTTTCAGAAAACGATCGTACGATTTGACCATCATGGAGTCAAAAATCGGTTGTTTTTCACAAATTTTCCAATATGTCCGATCACTGAAAAGGGGAGGAACCGCGAAAATCAGCCGGTGCCGTTAACCCCACTAACAGAGCGAAAATCGGCTGATTATGTTTAGGTCTGATTTTCGGACAAAAAATCGGTTGATTTTCGACCCATGTATGGCCGGCCTTAGACTGGAATCAACGTTTTTTGGCTAAAAAAAAAAAAACTAGTGGTTTCTAGAGGAGTTTTTTTATCTGTAAAAATGCTCTAATGCTGAAAAATGCAGTAAATTGCTTCAAACCGGCATTAGACAGAAAAAAAAAAAATTTTCTGTTAAAAAACGCAAACGCGTCTAAACGCTAAAAAAAAAAAGCATAAAAACTCGCGTTTTTAACATGATACACAGCTAACGTTACCAGCTTTAATTAAACGCCCCGTGTGTGTGGAGACTTATGCAGGCCATAGATGGGTCGAAAAACAACCGTTTCTTAACAAAAAAACAAAAAATCGGTTGTTCAATAGGCCAACATTACCACCAATGTCTACGGCCGGCATTTAATTACTTCTGTCCCTGCAAAGAGCTCCGCTATTATATTTGACATGAAAACGTCTTGCGGTTGCAACAATGTATTTGTATCCATTTCGGATACAGATGTTTTTATTTGGATACAAATAGATACATTGTTGCAACCGTAAGACTTTTTCATGTCAAATATAATAGCGGACTGGAATTCTTCTTCTTTTTTTCTTCTTCTTCTTCTTCTTCTTCTTCCTCTTCTTCCTCTTCTTCTTCTTCTTCTTCTTTTTCTCTCATGCGCAGATTTTTTATCGGTAAAAAGATTGGCCGATTTGCCCATCATTGCCGCAAAAATCGTCCGATCAGCAAAATCGTCCAGTTTTTTTTTTTTTCAACTTTGCCGAACAAAAAAAGTGCCAAAATCCAGAAAAACGGCTGACCAATTAACCCATTAACGGTGCGAAAATCAGCCGATTTTCGACCCATCTATGGCCTGCATTAGTCTGGGGATGCATTTGGTGCTTTCGGCTGCCATTGTGCAATTGCTGGGTGTCGAATGTGCACCTGTACCTTTTTAAGGAGGAATGGGCTCCTCCAGGCAAATCTGCCCCTTCATTCATCCATCGCTGTATGGGCTCCAAATTGGAGACTCTCAAAGTGATAGAGTTAGGACCGCAGTATACAGAGGAGCCTTGACGTGGGCACCGTGGCTTCCGCGTATATTTGCAAATGTTCGCAACAAAAACCCTCTGTTAGACGGGGTCAATGTGGTTTGTTTGCAGACTAGCTGATAATTATCCTGAAACATTTTTGTTTGTGATATGTGTTGCCCTTCTATATGCACCTTACTGGAAAGGCTAGCTATAAATTGGGGTGGTTGCCATTTGTTTCGCTTGTTTGATGAACAATTCCACCTTTACCCTGCAGTGTCCATCTGCCATCTGTTTATGAGTTCAGCTGTCAGATAACAGAAAAAATATTATAAATGAAGAGAACATGTTATGTGTTTTGTTTTTTTTTTTGTTTTATTTGTATACAGTTAGGTCCATATATATTTGGACACAGACACAATTTTAGATTTTTTCAGGGATTTACCAAAACATATATTCAAGCTCTAGTTCTATAATGGTTATGGGCAGACAGTGCACACTCTCAAGTATAAATTGAGGGTATGCACACCCAAATTGGAAGAAGGGTTTAGGAATTACAGCTCTTAAGAGTAGCCACCCCCTCTTTTTCAAGGGA